TGCACAGACTGTTTTTAAAAGGACACGGGAAAACCAAAAACAGGAGCACTAGCCCCTCATCTTTTATGATGCATGTCTTCCTGAAATAATTGGCTACTGCGATTCTTTTCTTTAAATCTCATACATCTCTTTCCTGAGCAGTAGAGAAAAAAGTTTGCATAGATAATTGAATGCTGTAGAAAATCCCAGAGTTTGCCTTAATGACCTATTTTATCTTCCTTGCATTCCCCTTTGCTTCCAGAGGAGGGTTTGTATTATAAATAGAGAATGAGTGCATACTTGAACAAACCTAGGTTTGAATCCTGGCCCTTCCACTTGCTCGTGAGCTAAACATTTAACTTTTCAGGGCTTCAGTTTATTCGTCTGGGTCAGTAACACTCCTTCCTACGGTGTTCATGAGGACTAAGTGTGACTATGTGTGTTAAGCACCTTGCACAGTGTTTTACATGTAGTAAATCCTTAAAAGTGGTAGCAGGACTTTCACTTCTGGAGAAGATGGAGCCTACCACCGTCACGGGTCCTGGGGCCTAGGAAGTGTCTTTGGGGACTATTGTTCTACCCACCGCACTATCCAAAAATAAAACATGGAGAAAGGAGAATTTAACAAGAACAAACAAGAGTATCAGTGAGCTGTCAGATAACTTCAGGTTTGCCTAATATACTTGGAAGCTCAAAATGGGGAGAGGGGACAGAAGAATATATTTGAAGCTGTAATCGCCCCAAATTTCCCGAATGTTATGAAAACTATAAACCCAGAAATCTAAGAAGCTCAATGAGTCCTAAATACTAGAAACATGAAGAAAACTATACTGAGGCACATCACAATCAGATGGCTCAGGAGCTGAAAAAGAAGAAAGACATTACATGCAGAGGAACCAACATGAAGGGGTCTGCAAATTTCTCTTCAGAAACAATGCTCGAAGAACACTTACCAGACCATACTCTGGGGCAAAACCAAGTCCTCAAGAAATTCAAATCATACATGTGTTCTCTGACCACAGTGGAATTAAATTAGAAATCAGTAACAAAGATTTCTGGAAAATTCCCCCAACTTGGAGAATAACACATTTCCAGATAACTCATAGGTCAAAGAAGAAATCTAAAAGGAGGTTATTTTGAATTGCAAATGTTTTGAGCTAAACTAAAATGAATACTACACAACATACCAAAATTTGGGGGTTTCTGTTAAGCATTACTTAGAACAAGTATAGCACTGATCACTGTAAGCACCTAGAGAAAGAAGACCTGATTCAACCCGAAGTAGACAGATGAGAAAAAGTCCTAAAGATTAGAGATGGAATCAGTGAACTAGAATAGACATTTGCAGACTACAACCTGTGGTTGGTTCCCTCTTTTTGGAAATGAAGCTTTACACAAACACAACTGTGCCCTTTGGTTTACATATTGTCTGTGGCTGCTTTTTAGCTATAACAGCAGAGTGAGTGGTTATGGAAGAGACCATATGGCCTTACAACCTAAAATATTTACTGTCTAGCCCTTTAAAGGTTTGCTGGGGCGCCTGATGGTCTCTCAGTTGGTTAAGCATCTCTGCCTTGGGGTCAGGTCATGATCGAGCCTCCAGTGGGCCTCCCTTTTCAGGGGGGAGTTCTGCTTCTCCCTCTGCTCCCTTCCCCTCACTGGTATGCTCTGTCTCTCTCAAATAAATAAATAAAATCTTTTAAAAAATTTGCTGGGCAGCCCCAGTGGCACAGCGGTTTAGTGCCGACTGAAGCCAGGGGTGTGATCCTGGAGGCCCCGGGATCAAGTCCCACGTCGGGTTCCCTGCATGGATCCTGCTTCTCCCTCTGCCTATGTCTCTGCCTCTCATATCTCTGTGTGTCTATGAATAAATAAATAAAATCTTTTAAAAAAATTTGCTAACCAGAAACATATTAAACAAAATCTATAAAACAAGAAGCTAGGTTTTTGAGATCAAAAAAATTGGTAAGTCTCTTGCAATACTGATCAGAGGGGAAAAAAGAAGATACAATTGCCATCAGAAATGAGAGGTGACATTACTACAGATTCTTCAGATATTTAAAGGATAATAAGGATGTTTTATAGATAACTTTCTTCCAATACATGTAACAACTAAGATGAAAGAAATTAATTGAAAAACACAAACTACCAAAGCTCACTCAAGAAGAAACACACACACACACACACACACACACACACACACATATTTTAAAAGATTTTATTTGTTTATTCATGAGAGACACAGAGAGAGAGAGAGGCAGAGACACAGGCAGAGGGAGAAGCAGGCTCCATGCAGGGAACCCAATGTGGGACTCGATCCTGGGTCTCCAGGACCATGCCCTGGGCTGAAGGTGGCGCTAAACCCCTGAGCCACCCGGGGCTGCCCACATGTATATATTAAAGAAATTGGATTTGTTATTAAAAACCTTCCCACAAAGAAAACTCCAGGTCTAGGTGGCGTTACCATTGCATTTTATCAAATTTTTAAAGTATGAAATAAATAGCAATTGTACATGAACTCTTCCAAAAAAATAAAAAGAAGGAAATAGTTACCAGCTTATTCTGTGAGGCCAGAGTGCCCTGGTACCAGAACCAGATGAAGACATTCTGGCGAGAAGTGGAACTCCTGGAACTCCGGTGTGCGCTGGCAGGAATGTAGCGGTGACGTCACTTGGGAAATCAGGTGTGGCTGTTTCTTAAAAAGCTGAAGGTAGGTATATGAAACTATGCAGAAATAAACACACGAGCCGGCTTAGAGCGTCATTGGGGCAGGACTCTAGGCCGGGGCACAGCTGTACATGAGCGCTCCTGCCAAGCTCTGGGTGTGATGGGTCCAAGTTTGGTGGGAAACTTGAATGAAGCATATGGGACATGAGTGGCTCTCTTAAGGGAAAAGGATTTAAAACGAGAGGTCAAGATGAGGTACAAAAGTGAGGCTTTATTTAGGATAAGCAAGTAACTGCATCAAATTCTTGGAGTCCTAGATCTCTTTCTCCTGAGTCATCTTGAGACACCGGTTCAGAGAAGCTTCTGTAGAAAAGCTCCCTGCTGGCATCCGGCTTCCCCTCCCCACTTTCCCCACCTCAGTGGCAGTGCCCCCACCCTGTGCTATGGGGTGACCACTGCAGGCCACCGAGTCACCGGCATGGCCTCTCTGTCTCTGGGCTCTGCCCCGGCTCCACTCCCCTCCGCCTCTGCAGCCCTGCTGCCCAGTGGCTGTGTGGGCCTGAAGGAGCAGGGCTTGTGTGTGCAGAGAAGGCTCCAGAAGGCATCCTAGGCAACTGACGAGCTTGTCTCCTTGTCTCCTTGCTCGCCACAAGCTTGCTCCTGAGCTTTGGGACACACGGGCCTCTCCAGCCTCCTGGTCTGCCAGGATGCCACACATCCCATCGGTGAGGACACAGCCCATCTGGGCTCTAGCTCTCAGAGCCCTGCCCTCCGCTCTGAGGTCCTTGGGGGCTTTGCCATGACCGCTGTCAGACTGGCCCATGTGGGCTGCCTTGTCCATGAGTGGCGACAAGAGCATGGGCTGGGTCAGAGCCCAGAGCGGGGGCCTTGGAATTCCAGGCCCTACTGTGTAGTAACTGTGTTGAGTTCAAGCACATTCCTAATCCCTCTGTGCCTCCCTTTCCTCGCCTGTAAAATGCAGGAAGTAATAGGACCACAGAGTCTTTGCAAAGATGAAAGAGTCCTAGGGGGGCTGGTGTGTCCTTCAGTCTTGTCCACCTAAGGGTCTGCAGCTTCTAGAAGAGTCCCAGGCCAGTATCAGGCACTCAGGAAGCACTTGCTCCTGTCGGGTCTCTGGCCTGGGGCTGCAGGCTCTCACAAGGGGTGTGCCGGGTCTCACAGTTCTCCCTAGCTGCTGCCCCATGCCCTCAAGAACCCAGGGCCCTGGGACTCACACCCCAACTGCAGATGGTCCTGCTGAGGGTCTGAGGCTCTGGGGCCAGAGCCAAGTAGATGGGGGAGTTACATAGTGCAGGATGTTGGGGATGAACAAAGACAAGATCGTTCTTGAACACTGCTTCAGTCCTATAAAGTTCAGTACAGATGCATTTTGGGTACATCCCAAAGATCCATTCACTTACATATGAAAATGTAAGAAGCACTGAAGCTGCCTTAGAGGAAAGGTCACCTCATGAACATCAGTCTGAGTTTTCTTGTCCTTCCATCCTTAGGTAACAGTCCAATGTCTAGCTGTGAGTAGGGATAGGTGGAGAATTCCGGAGCGTTTGGCTCCATGCTGGTTTAATATCAAGCCTCTGTGATGTTGCTACTTCTGGAGAACCAGGTCTCACCTTCAGGCTAGCTGAGGAAGGCAGGCTGTCATGTCAGAGCCTGAGGTAAAAGCACAGAGTGAAGCTGCCCTGCGTCCTGAGGAGGTAGAAGAAAGCTGATTTAAAACAGAATACATAGCGAGGGGGATCCCTGGGTGGCGCAGCGGTTTGGCGCCTGCCTTTGGCCCAGGGCGCGACCCTGGAGACCCAGGATCGAATCCCACATCGGGCTCCCGGTGCATGGAGCCTGCTTCTCCCTCTGCCTATGTCTCTGTCTCTCTCTCTCTCTCTCTCTCTCTCTCTCTCTCTCTGTGTGTGTGTGTGTGTGTGTGAGACTATCATAAATAAATAAAAATTAAAAAAATAAAAAAAAAAGAATACATAGCGAGGCTGCTCTGGGTTATGAACTTCTCCCAGCTAGCCTCAAATCTGCTTTTTCCCTAACTGTGTGTGTGTGGGGGGGGAGGGGGCGGAAGGGCTCTAATGATTTCTGGTTTGATGTGGAAATACAACAAAGAGCAAGGCTGAACATCGAAACCTGGGAGGGCCCCCAAGGCAGACACGTGAAGTGTGAAGGGTGGGTGTTCAAAATCCAGAACCAGCAGCCTGCCATGGAGGGCAGGGCTGGGAGAGGGGCCTTGTCCCCCAGCAGGGAAGAAGAGGCTACTAGGCATCGGGGTGGGAGGCGCACCCTGCTGTCCACACAGGGGCCTTGCAGTAAGCCTGTATCTCCCTGTCTTGCAGGTGGTGTCGGGGAGCGGGAGAAGGTGCCGGCCAACCCGGAGGCGCTCCTACTCATGGCCAGTTCCCAGCGTGACATGGAGGACTGGGTGCAGGCCATCCGCCGGGTCATCTGGGCCCCACTTGGCGGAGGTACTGCCCGTAGATCTCATGCTCACCCTCTAGAACCCTTGCCTTCAGGTAATCATGCCCCTCCACCCTGCATGGAGCCCGTATGACCCCTCTCACTCAGGGCTCACTGTCTGTGTCCCAAGCGCTGGCAGCGTGTAGACCACGCTCACTTCCCCGGCTGCCAGCCCTCAGGAATCACACCTCCTGGGTACCAGGTGGGCAGCAGCAGGGGAATCAAAACATGCCCTCTGCCTACTAGAGTCCTGGGGTGTGTGCGTGCTCGCCTCCCTGCATCGAGACCATGCTGGGTAGGTGTTCATGATGTGGTGTGCACTAGGTACGGTGCCCTTCCCTCTGCCGTGCCTCACTGCAGCCACACGGGGCCGTGGCGCTGCCCTCACAGCCTGCACCCTCTTCCTGATCTGAGAGCTGCACTTGCCATTTACTCATTTACACCTTTATTAAAACCACCTATCGGATGACTGAGATGTACCCAGTCGTATTCCAGGCACTAGGAATTCAGTGATAAGCGAGATAGAGGATTCCTCTACCCTCCCGTCCCATCCTTCGCCCAGCAAGAGATAGACAATAGGCAAGTAGAGGTGTCACATGATGTTGAGTAGAGAGAAACATAATGAAGTCAAGCTAAGTAGGATGATAGGGGATGCTGTGTTAGATGCTGTAGCCCAGCCAGCTCAGGGAAATGGCCAGGAGGGCCAGGGGAATGCCGGGTGAGGAACATTCAGTCAGAAGTGCAAGTGCAAAGACCCTGAGGCAGGAATGAGAGATGTGAACACAGAATCTCAGGAAGGCCAGCGGGTCTTAGGATATGAGGACAGGAGATGTTACTGGAGCCTTGGGCATGTGGTGGGGATCTTAGACTTTGTTCTAAAGTGATGGGGCATCAAGGAGGGCTCTGAGCAGGAGATAGACATGACCTGACTGGGATTTGTAAAGGGCCCTCTGGCTGCCATGTGAGAGGTGGAGCAGAGAGAGATAAGGAGATACAGCAGGCTGAGACAGCCATCAGACTGGGGCAATGGGAAGTGCAGGCTGGCCTGGGCATGGAGGAGATGGTGAAGAGCTACCAGCCACAGGTGTATTCTGAAGGCAGAGCTGCTGGGTTTGCTGAGGGACATGGGGTGCAAGAGAAGGGAAGGTTGGCCCCCGGCTGTGCAGCTGCTGTCTCTGTAGGTTGGTGTCCCTCCATGGTCATCATGAGAAGAGCTTTGAGAAGGGGTCACCTGCTGGCTGGGCTGAATGCGGAGACCAGGAGCTGCTGGCTTGTGATGTCTCCTGTTCCCCCAGGTGTCTGGGAGTGTACAGTCCAGGCTGGGCACAGGCTCACCTCGGGGGGCTCAGAACCCATCTCCAGACCAGTGTGCCCGACAGGCTGGGCCCCTTCTTCACCCCGTGCCTCACCAGCTCTCCTCGGCCCCTCCTGGCTGCGGCCTACCTGGCCACCTTTCCTAGAACCGTGAGTCTTCATGTAGCACAGTCGACAGAACTTTGAGAGTCCGTTTCTTCCCTGTGCAGCATACACAGCCTCACAGTGTTGGCCACAGCCTCCCTGCCTGCTCATGACTGTGGCACCTCCCACCCAAAGACCCTAAGCCCATCCGGGGATTTCTGCAGCCTTCACAGATGTCCTTCAATGCAGGGTGGTGGAAATTGAGCCCCTAGAACAGAGCAGAGCCCAGGAGCAAACCCTTGTGCCTCTGGATATTGATTTATGACAGGTGCCACCGTGGACACAGGGGGGGAAAGGAGAACATCGTCACAATCTTAGGGGACAGAAAGATTTTTTGCAGGAGTTACAAAAGTCATTCATCTTTTAGGAAAAGGTTCATAAATTATACTTCACAGAAGGAAGAGTGTCTGTTTTTAAAAGGTAGACCAGGAAAGTGAAAAGACAAGCTTCTTAGGGTGGGAGAAGGTGTTTGCCACACACCCCAAACAAACAACTTATTCTTCAAACTCCCGTACATCAGTAAGGCAGAGACAGACAAGCCAGTAGAGGCTTGGGCAAGAGACTTGAGCAGGCTTTTCACCCAGACACATCCTCATGCCCCGTGAGCACGGGCAGTGGTGCTCAACCTTGCTAGTGATCAGGGCAGTCACCACCTGAAAGATTAAAAGAGGAAGGCAGGTGGTTTGCAGTGGTGACGAGGACAGAGAGCTATAGGCACTGCATGTATGACTAGGGAAACCTGCATTACCTGTGAACGTTCATGCTACGCACACCTAGGCCCCCACAGATCCACTGCTAGGCATGTCCCAGGTGGAAATATATGCACAAAGGGGCACCTGGCTGGTGCAGTCAACTGAGCATCCAACTCTCGATTTTGGCTCAAGTCATGATCTCAGGGTCGTAAGATTGAGCCTATGTCCAGCTCTGCGCTTAGGGTGGAGTCTGCTTGAGATTTTCTCTCCCCTTCTGCTACTCTCTCCATGCTCTCTCTCTCTCTCTCAAAAAAAAAAAAAAAAACATGACAGAGATGCTGGAGACTTATACATGTCACATGTTCACAGCAGCCTTACTCATGATGGCCTGATACCAACCCAGTGTTTAGGAACAATACAATGGATAAATGCAGATGACTTGCCCTTGCAGCAGAAATGCTACAGCAATGAGGGAGAATTAACTACAGGTCTACCTAGCAACATGCATGAATCGTAGACATACCATGGGACAAGGGAAGCCCAGGAACATGCTATAGGGATGATTCCATTTCTGTGAAGTTATAAAAATAGGGGAGAAGGAAACTGTATTACTTGGAGATAGGTAATTAGGCAGTAGAAATACAGAAAGGCAGGGAAATGAATGCTGTACAAGTCAGGGTAGTAGCCCTGGCTACATAGGCTTCATTTTATAATAATGTGTTAATCTATACATAGATGCCTTAGGTACGTTTCTGGATGTTACATATATTTCAGTATATAAAATATTAAAAAAAATAAGGAGAAACTGAAGGCCAAAGAGACTACAAAACTTGTCTAAGACATCCCAGCTAGTCAGGGAGCAAGGCTGAGAAATGGGGGTGGATGTTCTGACCCTGGACACCGGGCTTTGACTCAGACCATGCAGGGCACTGGCACAGCCCATCAACATAGGGTGCTGTCTTCCGGCCACATGTCTCTCTCTTTCTCTCTCTCTGTGTCTTTCTCTTGCCCCCTTCCTCCCTTCCTCCTCTGTGCTTGCCCACAACTGGGACCCTTTGCAGAATCCCACATTAGACCCCAGATCTGACCCTCCCTCAGGCCCCTGGCATTTATCAAATTGCCCAGGCTGTGTGCTGAAGGGCTTGTAAGAATTAAAACGGGAACCGTCATCAAAGGTGCTTACCTCCCTTCTACCTGAAGCATAGAGGAAATGCAGAAATCCCAGGGGGTAGCAATGGCTCACATGTCTGGACAAGCAGTGGGCACTGGCAGGTGGGCTCAGCAGCCTCCGCAGGCTTCCTGGCAAAGCTGTTATTAGCCTGGGTTCCCCTGGAAGGGAGGCTTGGGGGATCAGTCCTTCTTTCACTACAAATCAGGGAGTCTGTGAGCCCTTTCAAGCTGTTTGTTCTGGCAGAGAGCAGCCACCTCTGACAGACAGGAGTGGGCAGTGTACCTGCCACCGTCAGGGGAGAGCTTGGCCGTCCCCACCGAGAGACCTGGGGGCAGGTGCACGGGCTCAGCAGAGCCTGTTACAGTCAATGGCCTGCCCAGAGGAGTCCCCAACTGTAGGGCCTCTTGTCTGGGCATTCGTTCATTCATTCATTCATTTCATTCATTCTGCTAGTCACTCATTCACTTAAGGATGTGTTCTAGGGGCCGAGGAATACAGCAGTGAGCAGGACAGACAAGGTCCCTGCCCTCCTTTGTGAAGTGCACACTCTAGAAGAGAAAATAGGTAGCAGGTAGGATAAAGAAGCCCGTTGCAGATTAGACAATGATGTGCTCAGTGGAGAAAGGTAAGGTGGGGAGAGCAGGTGAGAGTGATGGGGGTCGGAATTTCATGACCTCTGAGTAAAGGAGATGAAAGAGTGAATTGCATGTATATCTGGGCGGAGAGTTTTGGAGGCAGAGGCAGCAGCCTCTGTGTTGGAAGAGCAGCAAGGAAGCCAGTGTGCCTGGAACAGACTCTGTGAAGATGGAGAGAGCAGGAAACAGGTCAAAGAGGCAATGAGGTGTAAATCAGTAGAGCCTTATCGTCACGGTGACAACTCTGGCTTTTCCTGAGGTCTGTGGTGCCATGGGTGGGTTTTGAACAGAGTGGCAGGGCCTGGTTTGGGTTCTAACAGGATCCCTCCAGCCATGTGTTGAGAACAGATCAAAGAGTGAAACAGGGAGACCAGTTAGGAGCTCATTATACAATAATGCCAGTGAGAGATGACAGCAGCTTGGCTCTAGATGCTACTGGTGATGAGAAGTGACTGGATTCTTGATATATGTTAAGGTAAAGGCAGTCATGTTTCCCTGCTGGAATGGGAGAAACACATAGAGAATGAGTCAGGGTAATTAGCCATTGACTGAGATGAGAAAAACCACAGGAAGTACAGTGTTTGGAATGAAGACTGAGAGATCGCATTGGGGCTCAGTCGGAGATACCCATTAGAGACCTAAGTATACATGTCCAGCAGGTGGCTAAACATTTAAGGGTAGAGAATTGGAGAGAGGACTGGGTTGGAGAATCTGGGGGCTGTTGACCATGCATGGAGTTTGAGGCCATGAGGCTGGGCGACACACCGTGGAACGAGCGGAGGGCTCCAGGGCTGAGCTCTGAGCTGCAATCCGTTAGACATCAGGGGCAGAGGAGGAGCCAGCAGAAGCGGTTCAGAAGTGAGGAGTGGAGCTAGGAGTGAGCTGGGGACCCAGGGCTGAGTGAAGAGAATGTCTAGGGAGGAAGGAACAGTGATAGCGAGCACCATCGACAGATGAAGTGGAAGAGAGCGGACTTTGAGCACAGCTCCGCCGACCTGGGTGTATGGCTCTGGTGGCGAGCCGGAGATGAGAATGCTGGGCATGAAAAGGGT